GCTTTCACTGATTTCAGGTTTGTGTTCCGAATAAGACGTTTTTCCCAGTACCCTTATCAGTCTCACGATAACTCCCCTCTGGTTTCTGGGGTGTTGGTGTTCCAGAACAAGTCCCTTGCCGTACCATCATATCTATCGTTCCCCCTCCCCCAAATTATTCATCCATGGTGACGGTCAAGAAATCTTAATCCTCACCACTGATCGTAGTTCTCCTGCTCGGCTTGCTTCAGCTTTTCCATGAATGAAGTCATGCGCGAGTTTAACGTGGGATAACCACTAAGGTCATCCAACAGGGCTGAGCACAGCGACTGCATGTTCTCCAGCTAAATGACGCATTAGTTGAATGATTACCGCCACCCTACTGGACTCATTCCTTCCAAGCACTCAACTATTTATTTGTGGAAAAAAGTAATAGAGGCAAATCCGTTCAGTAACCTTGTTGCTCTGCTGTCTGATCCACACCACCTTGGCAGCGATTTCCGTCAGAAAACGGCCCTGTTCGCTGTACGATGCCATACGGCTCTCGATTTCTCGCTCTTTTTCGAGAATTTTACTTGAGAGTTGACTCAGCAGCGCTTCTCTGAAAGAGTAAAGAGAATTTATCGCTCCACTGATGTACGTTATAACCAAAAGCACGTCCTTTTCGGAGAGTTCAAAAACCCTAAGAATCGCATTCACCCATGAAAGAGTGGGGGAGTGGTTACTCAGATAGCGCCAGGAACGCAACAATACCATGGGAGTTCACTTGAAACAGTTACATGGTTATCAAAGCACTAATCAACTGGATAAAGGGGTATCCATAGGGCAAGTACAAGGTGGGACTAACCATCCAAATACCATTTTACAAAATAGTTCAACAACCCCGGAGCTCCTCCCCCTCCAGGCTCTGGAAGCCTTGAAGGCAGTTGGCACGATAATTTGGTACTCGGCCTAAAATGCTAGCAAGGCGCTATATAGTGGGGAAAATGGCGAAAGAACGGAGTGAAACGGTCAAAATCCTGCGAAGAAAAAGCTCCGTTCTCAGTGACTTGAAAATCGATTTCGGACGAGTTTCCCGTAGGCATCTTGCCAATCACCGCTACCGAAGATACGGCTGCATATGTGTACTCATATATCCATGCAGCACTCCCGCGAAACCGGCTTCAATACGCAATCCCTTCGCATCAGTTTGTTAGCAAATAAAGTCAATAGCGAGAGTCTGGAACGTCGTTCATATTGTGGGCGGGCGGGCGTGTGGGCGTTTGGGGTAGGCATATAGGGCCAGGGCGCTGCGCAGCGCCTTCCTTAAGTGTCGCGGCAATTCGTCGCGCGCTAGGCGTATTAGTCATTTCTAGAGACTTATCAGTGCCAACGTGCGCTCCGGTTTTCGCATTGAAGAGATCTCAGTTTCGCAGTTGGGGGCCCTCTGAATGCCCCGAGGTCATTGCGCAGTGATTGAGTAGTGAGAACCAAGTGCTTACCATAAGATGAGCTCAGCAATGATTAAGACTTGATTGACCTATTCAACGGCGTATAAGCAAGTTTTGTTCGTTGCGGATGACGGGTCGTGTCAGCCGAGGGGGGGGGGGAGGGGGCCTGGGTTTGGCGCGGGCCGACTCGTTTTGCAGTTTTTTCGAAGAGGCGACAAGAGTGCATCGAACTGTCGGTCGTAGCAGTTATTTTCCATTATTGGAGGTTGCTTAACCCCTCAGCAACTAATGGAGAACGCGCTGGTAGCGTGCAAAATCTAGCCTCACTGACACGCCCTATCATTCGCGGCAAATAAGACTGAACATCACCGATGACATACATTTGCCAGTGCATCAAATGCCTATCCCATTTTTACATGTCATAATAAATGTTGTTATTTATGCCACGGGAATCCAAAAAAATCTAATATAAAAAATGGAACTTCAAAATTAGGATAAAAGGTATCAAATATTACCTTTCATTCTGCAATTTTTCCTTGATTTTGGCTCGACATAGGAAATTCTTATACTTTTCCAGGTCCGCAGTGAGCTTAAAAACCAAATAAACCAGGTTAGATTATTGAATACTTGAAGCTAGTAGATCAAGGGAAATAGAGTGGAAATTCTGAACTCACATGATTACTTTCGAGTTTGTTCGGCTGCAGACGGCTCTTCAGTACCGGAATCGTTCGATCAATTATCGGATCCAAGGCTTTCTCGGCAACCTTCAATTATGCCTATGAAATTTGTTGCTCTGATTGGAACTAATGTACATTGGAAATTTGCCGCGCATCGTAGCACAATGTGCCGGGCGCGACTGCGCGGCAGAATACGAATGTCTTGCCCGCCTCCGCCTCGTACTACACATCTGGCGTCATTGAGGCTTGCCGAAAATCGGCATAGGGCGGTCGCAACCGCCAGGCAAAGCCTTTCACTGAGGGCACGGATGGAATACGTGAGCCAACCGATCATGGCCTCATTGGGCCTTGCCAAAAATTGGCACAAGGCGGTCGCAACCCCCAGGCGAAACCCTCCGTTGAGATTATGGAGGGAGTGCGCGAGCCAACCGACCAATGAGGAATTTAGAGAAAGGAGGAGCTTTTGTTTTCTTCGGGGGGTGGGGAGTGACTGCAACGCCGACGACCTCGATCGCCATTCCATGTGACGTTTCCTCCGGCACTTCATACTTTGCGGAAGCGAACTGCAATATTGACAGCCGCGTGGTACATTACGCAGGGTAAAAGCCTAAAGCAGGTGTTCTGCGACATTACAGAACTTTCTTGGTGCCCTGTACCTTCCTTCCCACATTTCCCTTCTTCTTCGTGATTACGTGACAACTAGAACTTTTCGTGGTGGACCTGACGCGAAGGGCCAGAGAGCACAGAAACAGAGGATTGAGGCTGCCAAGTTGTAAAAGATGCAAAAAAAAACACACCGCGAGGCTTTTCCCAGGGGAAGGGACACGGGATGGTTGAGCCTCTCATCAGACGTGAAAGTTTCAACGTGTGAGGTCACTGTGGCCAAAGAGTACCATGTGGGCGTGAGAGCGCAAAGAAAAAGAGAAAGTCAGCATGATTAAAGGAAGTGCGCTCGAGTTGTGCATTTGCCCTTCTTCCTTTTACTCTATTTGACATGTTGAGGGCTACATCCAACAACATCGGCAGGAACTCTGCGAATTTTTTGAGAATTTTGTTGAGCAAGCTTGGAAGGACTGGTTTCTCGCCCCTTGCCCCCCCCCCCTTTCTTTGTCCCAGTATGTGCTACGGAACCCACGGCAAGTTAAAAGGTTATATAAAACTTGTCGCATAATACTTCCAAACTTACCAGAACTTTCGACTTCCAGTTATGTTCCGTGAACGGGTTGTAGGCTAGCACGGCCGTATTTCTCATAGCAGTCTCAATGGTCTTCTCCACTTCCGCCTCCACACCTCGTTCGTTGAGCAGTAGACCGATTTGTGGACCAAGTTGCTTCAGTGAGAGTACCTGGAGAAGTGAAGAGTTGCACTGTTTGAAGTAGGTAGCATGGAGTTCAAAGTCGCAGCTATCAGGTCACGCGCGCTGTAAGACAGCGTTCAGACTTCGCGACGGCAGCGCGACGAACGGCATCGCGTCGAACGCACGACCGAAGCGCTGCCGTCGCGAAGTCTGAACGCTGCCTAACGCCACGCGCGCACGCTCTGGCGTGGCTCACAAAATGAGCAAAAGTTTTGATAAACTGATTTCTTGGCTCTGTTCGCTGCGATACGCAGCAGATACAGGGCGCAGCCATTTTTGCGAAAAATCCAACGGAAGTAGCGTTATTTGTCCATCCCTCACCCCTTGTTGGCGGCGCCGCAAAAGTATTAAGCAATGACTATTTTTTACAGTAGATGTTAGGAGTTGTTTGGAAAGGACCTCCCACACCTCAGCTCAACGGTAAACTCAACGGTGAAATTTTTCAAAAATACCTTGTCAAGAGGGTCGCACAGGAGGACCACTTTGGGGTAGGGGAGCGTATTCATTCAAATTTTACACATTCTGTTCCCCGATGAGACGTGCCACACGCAGCTCGCTCCGACACCGTTTTTTCGCGCCACCGCAACGTGGACCTCCTGGTCGACTCCCGAGTTTTCTAGGTTTACGAATAGTATTGAACTGATTTTCTAATTAAACAGACAGAAGACTCCAAATGTTCCCTTCCAGACTTGACTTCATAAGTTTAAGGCATCGGTTGACTATCGCACCCTTCAAGGTCTACTTCTTGAATCCTTGGAGGTCCTTTCATATTCACTGGCTCGCCTATTCAAGCATTCCTCCGCACATGGCGTTTTCAATGTTTGTTCCGGTCATTCAGTTGTACTGACAGACTCTCAACTGGGAAAACATAGCCGGCAATACTCAAACGAACGCACGCCTTCAGTAGGTCGACCTACATAGTTAACAGAAGAACATAGAAGAAATCACAAAAAGAAATTACTGATAAATCTTATTGTTCTTAATAAATTCCTGACAAGTTTTCTGCCTATCTTATTCACAGCAAGCTTCGCTTCACGATGTTTTCGCAGTTTCTCTTCTTTATTTTGGTGTATTTCACTGTTCATCTTCCACTTGTCGCTTCAAGCGTCTCACTCTTCAATTCATCAAAATCTTGAAGAAATCAAATTTTTTGTTCTCCTGATTTTCCGCACCGAATTTTCCGTCCTAACACACGCAGTGAACGATAAGGTGCGTAGGACATGAGAATGGTCTCTATTAAATGAGCGACCATTCGTCCTTGCATTTGAATGCGCATTCCATGATGGACACGATGCGGGAGTCCAGCCCCACGAGTGGAAGTTACTGATTGTGCACCATTAACTCTGCCCATTTGAAAAAAAAAACACCAACTGATGCTAGCAATCACTTAACCTGCATTGAGCTGTTCGATCACTTCTGGATCCTTCCAAAGTCTCTCCCCGTTGATTTTCGAAGCTACTTGTTCACATAGATAAGACCCTATTCGGAGGGTAAAAAGAAATAAACACAGAGGTCTTTTGAAAAAGTCAAAAAGCGGGGGGGGGGGCGATGGTGACAACTGACGCCCACGTGGCGCATGCTCTCATCAGAAGGTGCAAGTCTCCAATCATTCCTGTCCAAACCATTCCCCATTTACTGTCTTCCATCCCTTCGTGGACTTCAGAGTCAAAAATCAGCTTGCGTAGCAGGAACTGGGCCCAAATTTGTGCTGTAAATTTACTGTACTGTAAATTTGCAGTGATAACAGTAGCCACTATTTCCGAAGGCGAGGGAGTAACCTCGTCATCCGGGCAGTTGATTAGGGCGGTCGTCAACGGGCCGCAGCGCGTGCCAGGAACTATTTGCTTTCCAGGCTAATTTAGTCATTTTTTTTTCCACCTTGTGAAGATAAGGAGCGCTAATGCTAGGGAAAAAAGTAGCCCATAAACAGTGAACAGTTGGGCAAAAATGATAGAATTTATCCTGGAAAAAGCAAATAGTTCCTGGCACGCGCTGCGGTCCGTTGACGACCGCCTTAGTCAACTGCCCGGATGACGAGGGTATATGCAGGGATTGGAGCATAGTCCAGGCGGCATTTTCCCGCCAATCAGAGCGCAAAGTTGCTGACAAATGAGGTGCACTAATTTGTGCTTCAAGTATATCGCGTCCTTCTCACGTGCACGCCCTCTCGTTTTTTAAGGATAAGGACTGTGTGTTTGCTCCTTCCTTTCTAAAGCTGCGGGGGGAGGAGAAGATTTGAAGTGGGAGACCGAAAGTAAGGTCAGCGCTTGTATGTCAGTCCATGCACGACCATGCACTGAATGAGACTGCGCATTCTGCTTTCTGGATACGGTGGCTGACTGTTCCACAGTGCATCACAGGTGTCTTCAAAAGCCTCCACAAGTCCAATGAGCTCATCGATAGGGCGATCCTGAAGTGCTAACATCTCTAAATTGTATTCATCTGGACTGGCTTAACGCAGTGAACGTTGGAAGCGAAGCAAATGTGAGGCATGTTTATAAGATATGTATGCTTTCCATGTCTAGCTGCAGGAAGGGGCTGTTTCAAGTTACTTTTGCGAGCGCGCAGACGGCTGCGCGGGATCAGACGAAAGAGACGCAGAGAGGTATGTGTAAACGAGGTGAGTTGGTACAGGAATACGTGCAGTGCGATAGCCGGGTTTGCTACTACACTTTTAGACGCGCCCCTTCTTACCCTTCGATCAATGGCTGCTCCCGATTGGCATGACCTGGGAAAGTCAGTTTGCTTTTGCTAAGACTCAGCCCGAAGAATTTCTGACGAGGCCATTCTATATTGAGCTCCACACTGCACTTGGACCAATCTGCACTCCCCCCCCCAGCCTCGCCCTCCTCATAAGAATGCTTTCTTCGCCTCTATATCTCATAGACTGAAAAGGGGTGTCGGCAGAAAGAGGGAAGAGAAAGAGAGGAGAACGGCATAGTGGTCCATGTGGGTCTTCCCATGCCATCAGCAAGAATAGCGACTTTAAAGCTCAAGTGTAAAAAACTTGAAGCTATTACCCCTCACAGGATCTCACCTCAATCGTGTCAGTAATGATCTGTGAGCGTTCGATAAGGCTTCGTTGTACTGTTGAGGGCAGTTTGTTCCTGCGCGAGACTTTGCTTTCCCATAAACCGGATTTCCGTCCGCAAGTGGCAACAGCACGCCAGCTGCAAATAAATCGTTAATAACCTCGATCGATTTCTGTACGGTCAGGACAAATCGTGAAGCATGCGCTGCTTTCGCGCATATTGTGCTGTAATGTGCGTGGCGAGTTGAACATCTTCGGGACAATGATAATGAAAAGCAGTGGGCAAGATTGCTGAGGGCGCCGGTGGTCTGTACTGTCATTGGTGAAAGGTGGGTGTGGCCGAACGCTCTTTAGGCCTTTCCATCAATGACAGTGGCAAGAACCGTCCGCCTTCAATAGCCTTCAGAAAGGTAACTTTGTCATCCTACATGTCGATATTCGAATGAAATCGTCCGTGTTTGCTGCGAACGTGAACCCTGGAGACGACGTCAATATTGTGACTCTTCTTGCCCCCTTCCTCATCGTCACAGAACGAGGGGAGAGGAGTAGCATATTGACGACGTTTCAATCCCGGACAGTGTCCTAAGGCTTATTTTTGGCTGCTGGTTCATTTATGAAGTGAAGATCGGCCAAATTCGCAAAAAATTTTGTATCACAATAAAGTACATCCTGATCACGGATGTAACCTGTCATTCTTCTTGGCGTCTGGCCGCTAATAGACCGACAAGATTTACTTTCTAGGCCCAGCCTTCAACAAATAGCTATAAAATCAATCGTAGTGTCGCTCCATATAGCGTCAGCCTCAAAGGATGAATGTCTATCTTTGCAATTCACGATGTCAATATAACCCCTGTTATGCAAGTTTTTTCAGCGGATTTGAAAGCAGAGAAGAGGCTATTCCAGCTGCTGAGAGGCTTGCATACGAGGGACCCTTGCATACTCATTAGGGCGTACAAAGCATATGTCCGTCCTATTGTTGAATATGGATCTGCAGTCTTCTACCCCAGTAGCAGGAGGGCCAGCAACAGGCTGGAATCTGTGCAGAACAGCTTCACCAGGAAAATTCTAACTAGGGCTCTGGGTTTGTTCTAATAAGTGCGATACCAAGTGAAGTCCTGTTAGGAAGTAATACAGGGGGGGGCCAAAAAAAAGTCACTTTGCCTCATTGACTTTCGAGGCGCTATAAATTACACTTTATCAAATTCTGATCGGACATTTTTACTACCATATTGAAGAGCACATTAAGTACTATCACAACACTCGCGTCCCCAGCCTTCTGGACGAGCGCCATCGAGAGATTCTGGCACGCGACCGGGTACCTGAGATCAGCGGGGTAGTCGATTTCTCCGCCACCGTAGACCACCCTATTGAACTCCGCCCGAACTAGGTAATTGAGTGGGTTCAGGTCAGGGGACATACTTCAATATTACATCTTCTTCAGGTACGAAACGCCCTTCCATTTGAAGGTAGGCGGGTTTTCTCAAAACCCTTGATTCCATGTGGTGGCACCCAAACCTGTAGCAGCACAAGGTCTCCAAGAAGGTACGGGCGACCACATGTAGGGAGGATATTCTTCTCGAGTTACTTGATGTAACCGCCAGCGCTCACCTTCAGTCGGGGTCTACAAAGAAAATATCGGTCTTCCCCTTTCCAGGTACCCGGTCCATACCATCAACTCGCGCCTCGGCGAATACGGTGAAGATGATGTCCTAGACCGTAGCGAAGTTGACGAAGCTGCTCGATGTGGGAGGTCTTGCAGATCAAGAGTACTGACCTCCAGGTAGCTATCTGTGGTGATGACTTCATTCAAGAAGTTTCGCAGCTGTTTGGAGGCGAAGGTGTTCTCCAGTCAGGCCGCGACTGGAGATGACTTCATATTTTGGCGTACATGAAGGCGATTGGCGGCAGCCTGCTCCAGCTTATAGAGGAAGATCTTGGGTATCTTCCACTCTGGTACTCATATCCACTTCCCCTGTCTGGGCTGCGAAAACTTCGTTGATATGTGGCTCGGCCGAAATGACTTTTTTTTGGCCCCCCCCCCTGTGGGCGGGCGTTGTCATGCAAAGGTAATCGACAGCCTTTCTGTGACAAGTGCTGGCTGCAGCTGACGCAAATTTTCGGTACATTTCGTCGATTTCTTCACAGTAGGACTCTGCTGTGATGGTTTGGCCTGGTGATAAAAAGTTATAGTGGATCACACCAGCCGATGACCACCAAGCCGTGACCAGAATCTTTTTTCGTGAGGGTTCGGCTTTAAAAATTTACGCTGTTCGTCGAAATCCTACCACTGGTGGCGGGAACGTCTCCTGTTATCATACATGACCCATTTTTCATCACAGGTGACAATTCAGTCCAAAAACAGGTCGTCTGCTGCGCAAAAGCAATGCAGAAGGAACCTCGAGACGTGCCGATTCCTGCCGTCACTCCCGATTGTGGGGGCACCCAATTGTCGAGTTTTTTCACCTTCCCAATGCGTTCCAGACCATCTGCAACAGTGGATTTGCCAACGCCTAGCTTTTCTGCAATCTCTCGAACTTTTTGGGATGGGTCAGCCTTCAAAATCCCCTAAAGACACATATACGCTCATACACAGATTGAGGTGTATGAGACTATCAGCCCCCCAGATGTCGATGTGTCGTGGTCCCCCGCCCAAACATGCCCAGGAATGGAGATACAGGGCCGTGAAACACGCTAATTCCTCCATGCTCCGCCCACTGCCTTTTTACGGCGCAGATTCCCGCCGTTCATAACATCCGTCGTAAGCGCGCCTGTCGCGTGCGGCTCCTTGGCACTTTGCCAAGTCCTTTAATTGCGCTCTCAAATACAAGGAAAACGCAATTTCCTGATGCGGATAACATTGGAGGTGCTACAAAATAAGAGCAGAAGATGATGACAAGGGGCAGAACTCAAGAGCAACTCGGCTGCATCTGCAGCATCCTTGGAGGCCGTGTATTCGACCGTAAACATGAAATAAAACAGCCCAAGCGTCCCACTCGTTTGTTCTAAGTATTTCTATGGCTTTGGCGCCGGATCGTAGAAATTTACAGGCCAGTTTATCTAATTTGCCTTTCTTGCATTTTCCACATTTGTTGTTTTGTTTTACATTACATCGTTGTGCTTCTTTCTAGCCTGTGTCATCTTCATCTCCTTGTACATGGATTTTGAAGCATGAGCAACACCTCAAATTTTATTCGCATCAGGAAATTGCGTTTGCTTGTATCAAACTAACGAGTATGCCGTTTTATTTTCATGTTTCGTGGAAATACGCGGCCTCCGAGGGATGTTGCAGAAGTGGCACAGTTGCTTTTGAGTTCTGACCCTCGTCATCATCTTCTGTTCTTATTTTGCAGCACCTCCAATGTTATCCGCATCAGGAAATTACGTTTTCGCCTTCATTTTCATCAGTGGTGTGGCCATTAAGTTTCATATGCGAAAGAGAATCCTTCCATTGATTGAAATTGAAAAATTATTCAGATCAGGCGCGCCGCCAAGTACGCAGTTACGACCCATCTATCTCCTGGATAAGAGTGTACTTCCATTTAGAATGAGTACCTTCTCCACGATCCTTTCCGCTATCAACAGTGGCGAGCAGATTCTCTTCGAGTTCACTCACTAGCGACAAGAGATGCTTATTAGCTGTGGTTTGCAAAGAATCAGCAATGTTCCTTGCTGAACACCTGAAATATGCTGAAAATTCAAGTCAGCCAACACCAAGAAATTATCACCGATGACCCAGTTCGCTAATCATTCGTGAGAATGGTCAGAAAGGCAAATGATAGTGATCAGACTTACATTCTGTACACTCTTCAGAAACACCTCGTTAGACGCTCCGTTCATCGACATCACGTTCACCATCGCCTTGTAATTGTCGTTCGTGAGTGCAGTTGGGCGACTTTTGTAGAAGACTACTCGTGGAAGTGTACCCGATTTCATCGTGTTTGAAAGGTCAACACCACGCTGAATTTTATTTTTTATTTAATTTTCATCGGAGGCATCGATTAGTTAGGCATTGTTCACAGTCTGCGACCCTGACGAAACAGCGGTTCGGCGAAAAGCAATAAATACGTATTGATCGGAGAATCGCCAACCGCTCTGGAGAAACGCCGCCGCGGTTCGGCGAAAAGCAATAGATGCGTATCGATTTCGCTGGCTCCGCCCTAGAGAAAAACGCCAGGGCGGTCGGGCTAGCGTTTTTCGCCCAACCGCTCCGCCGAACCGCCCGTCGATACGTATCAAAACCGTTTCGCGCAACCGCCAGACTCTTCGCCCAACCGCCAATCGATACGTATCGAAAGCTTTTCGCCGAAGCGTTTCTTTCTAGAGAAACGCTGGGTCGCAGACTGTGAACAGTGCCTTATGGGTATGAAGGGTTCAGAAGCTATGGTATCGAGGTTCCCCCAAACGTGTTTGCTGGGAATCGCTCCGCGCGTGCCGCGACTGCAATTTGGCTCATTGGTTTCTTTCGCTTCCCCTCCATGGCTCATGGTCCTTGCCATGGGCGAAGTGAATGGGTCCGCAACTGTGGTAACGTGCCCTTTCTCTGCCCAAAAGTGCACGGGAAGAGGAGAGTAGGGTGGCCCGAATGCCATTCGGGACTTTGCACACCCTGCCGTGCTGTCAGCCACAGGCTTAACCATAGACAAACGCGCTATTTGCTTGAGTCCTCTCATTCCGCTTGCTCTCTATCGCAGGGAGCGTATTTTGCTGCCCATCTTGGTAAATGCAAGTGCCGAACCTTGACGATTGCACAGGGGAGTCTCAAAGAGTACCCGGGAATCACTACCCTTCAGCATCATTTCCGCGCGCTCTCGAGTGACGGCAGTGTTACATTCGTGCAACCGCCAACTGGCTCTTCTCGAATATGGCGAGGGCGGTGGAGGTGAACGTTCAATTTGTTTTGGGTCCAGGGAAGAGGTGAAAAGATCTCTAGCTTGACGCGACAGGAGGTCGATTGGGATTGCACACTGCGGCGGCGTCGCATTCGGGCCGACGCGGACGGTGTTGTACGAGGCCTAGTTGGAGTGAAAGCTTTGCTGAACGAGATTTGCACGAGTCAACTAGCTGGGAAATACCACTAAGTCGATGCTCATTGCCGCAGTGTGTGTATCTCTACCGGTAGCCGCGCGACAGCTCTAAAATGAAGCCAGATCACTAACGTAAGCATCGAAAGCGATTGAGAAAGGTGCCGAGCTGTGCCAACAGTTTTTTCCTGACTGCTAGAATGAATTGCTATTTTGTTTTTTTTGCCCTTTTCAAATTTGCTGTTTTTGTGACTGTGCGCTGAAGGTCAGTAAGCGATCCCAGTATCAAACTACTGGTACGTGCGACGCGGACCGCGGAGCGCAGTCAAGGCGGGCCCTGTTCCAACAATGATGTCATCGTGAGTTCGCCACAACTGGTAAAAATCTACCTTGGCTACGGTCCAATTCAGGCCGCCGCCTTATCTTTCTCTTAGGATCTCTGCTGTCAATTGTGGCAGATAAAAAGGTCTTGGTGGGCTTCTCGTGGAATCGAAAACAACTACGGGGACGCAGGCACGGCGCAACAAAATTATTCGCGGATGTCTGGCTGCGACTGCGACTCCCCACCAAGGTGAATACGGGTGATATCGATCGAAGTTCCAGCACTTTGAAATTTCGTGCCGCTTCACTGCAAGTTACATGCATGGGTCCACTTCCCATTCCGATGCTATGGCCATTGCCAGGGAAAACGCGCGCGAAAGAATCGTGAATGTGCCACTTCATCCACGCGCAATGTGCCGCGACGCCTTTCTTACATTTGACACTACCTGTTTTTCGACTGGGATCTATCGACATTTCAAAGTGAAGACAATGGCGTGTAGATACTTCTATTCTTAACTTTTTTTGTCATGCAATTGTATTATCTGTTCACACACATAAAGGATAAAGGATAAAGTCTTCGCCGTTGATCAATCCCTTTGTGGGATGCGGCACGCATTCTACTTCCATTCAGAATCGTGGCTTATTGAATGCGATGTGGCCTATACAATGACTTGCGGTGGCCAGCCGATGTACAAGTCAGTGTTTTATCCTCCCAGACGAATCTGGTACCAATTTACCGTCCCCAGGGGGTAGAAGCGCACGGTTGCCTGGCGGCCGAGTCGACTCGGGACTGGTGAAACCCGGCGCCGCGCGAGTGTAAAGCGCAACACTTGTCACTACACCACCTCCGTCCTCCTTCTCCATCAATACCCCCTAAAATCGTCATCGTTAGCGGAAGTCGCACGCGACGCCCACTGGCGCTGTGAATTACTGTTCTCTTGCCACATATCCCATTTGCCACCGTGTTGGGACTGGACGGCGATCAGGGAACGTGATCAGTAGGGGTACCCCAAAGAGGCGGCGAATTAGCTGATTAGGGATAGGCCAAAAAGAGAGGGAACGTGGTAACTAGAGATACCTCGAAGAGGAGGTCATATCTGAGTTATTAAGGAAGCGGCTCGGTTTTCTGGAAGGGCTGAATCGATCAGAAGGGGAGAGGAATCGGGCTAAAGCATCGGGATGTATGGAATGGGGGTGTTAATTCGATCCCCTCTCACAGTATACCTACTACCTTACTAGATTCTGCTAGCTCCCTGCCAATTTTCTAAAATTTTTACCAGCTTTTCTCATGAGAAAGACAAGATTCTGAGTGGAGGAGGGTGTGAGAACGATCAACAATCGGAAAGATCTCATCAGGAACTTGGAAACATCTCTCCCAAAGTAAAATGGGACCCCTTCCCCTTACACAGCGACGAAATACAACCCTCTCCATGGTGCAGTATCTTGCAAGGATTATACTGGGTGCAGTACACTGGCAGAATATTGTGGGAATGTTAAGAGACGCTTTGAGACAACGAGTTTTTAGCGCAGGGGATTCGCACCTTCACCTCTTTACTAGTTCCGGTTTACAAGCCTGACTCTGGTGAAATAGTTTTTACAGGTTGTGTTTACTCTTCAAACCCCACTCTCACATCACTGTAGAAGACTACGGGCTTTTTGTGGGAAATTCTGAGAAAGCGGACGTAACGAACTGGGTAAGATTGGACTACAGGTTCCAAAAAGGTTGTACTTGAAGTAGTGCTAGAGGGGGTGCCAAACCTAGTGCATATTTATTTATTTATTTATTTATTAATTCGTCATGACATGCTCAGGCAAACCCGGCGCGAACGATGCTTTTTCTATTGGAAGGTTTTTGAAAGACCACGTTTTCTCGAAAGTCTGACTGTGTTCAGACATATAGAGCCGTCAGCGCCTGCCTCCCCCTTCTCCTTAGGGATTTCTCGAGTTCGTCGCTCGAAGACTTGCTGGCATGAAGTGTGGCTTACGAAAAAACTGAGAAAAAAGAAAGAGCGTACCTGTTCGTGAGAAGCCGTATGGTGAGCAATGTGGCGTTTGTATCACAGAAGGTCTCAATTGGTTGAAGTTGCCGAAGTTTCTCTTCGACGATGTTTAACCCGAGGATATGACTGGCAACCCGTAGAAGATATGTTCTTCGGACATCCTTCTCTTCGTCCTTGGACATGGTGCAACCCTGAAAAACGTTATAATCAATACTCAATCTATCACGCGAACGCGTTTGCACGGCTCTGCCAGCGATCAGACTTCGCGTGAGGCGCATCGGACGCCCTCAATGACAAAGTTCTAGAATCATGTGGGAGACGGGCAAGAGATTCGTAGGTTGCCGCACTGTCGCGCGCGGCAATGGGTGCGACTTCCCTTAATTTACACCCCTTCCGATTGGAGCATCGGATTTCATGAAGACAAGGACGTGCTAGATACTCATATTTATTTCTGGTCATAAGTTGCATATTCTCGACCAATACCACCTAAAGTCGTCGTCATTAGCGGGCGCGACGTCGCACGCGACGCCCACTTGGCGCGGCGAATTACGATTCTCTTGCCACATACTCGGAGGATATCAGACTGGCCAGGCCACGTCGGTAGCTGGGGATTGTGTTAGTCCGTACGACCCCTCCCCCTTCCAGGTTCCCTCCTCATCAAGCTGTCGAGCGGGCGGGGGGGGGGGGGGAGAATATAGAGACTATAGAGAAGGGAAAAGCCAAAGCCGCGAGAAAAATACGACCCCTTTTTGCAAGTTCCCGATGGTCTTCCTATTTCTACCCGGAAATTTGAGGAGTGGGTGGGAAGGGGATAGTGCACGTGAAACAGAGAAAAAAACCAGGGGAATTCTGCAACGTATCGCAGAGGAACAGAAGGGAAATACGTCCCCTCCTTTTACAACGTCCGTGACAACACACAGGAAATAACAAAGGTAACAATCAAACTGAATTTCTCTCAGCCCAAATAAGACCGCCTCTCCCAAAACCAAAAGCGCCCCCCCCCCTGTTAGGGAACGATGTGCCCTGATACTCTTTCAGAAGACTTGCCGAGCACGCTTTCAAACAATTCCACAGCTTGGAACGAAGGATCAAATGTGTGGTAATTCCAAAGACGCTGGTACGGGCTATTTTATTCCCTTAACTTAAGTTCTATGGGACGACCCGTCCCTCAGCAGACACGTTAAATTGAAATACGCCGTCGCGATGGATTAAAAGAGGATATCGAAACGGGAAATTTTGAGCAAAAACTCTACAGCAAAAGGGAAAGACGTGGGCGCACATTCCAAGGTTACTGCCCTCTATCCTTGAAAATAGCCTGAACACATAGATAATCAAACCAGATTTCAGAGAATTAATGAAACAGTCACCCAGTAGCCAACGTTGGCCGCCGTTCGACAATGAGCAGTTGGAAAGATATCGCGCACCGCTCCATGTTACCATGGATACCGACTGCAACAGCTGTTAGAGTGCGTGTTACAACGAAATACTATGGGAAAGAGATTCATGTCCATTTTTAGCTTCAAAAAAAATGTTTTTTCATGGGGCTTTTTTAGCGCCCCACACTTCCCTGGTTACGAAGTTGCCACAATTCACAGAAGTGGTCAGTAAATACTGAAATCAGGGCACATCCTGCCATCGGAAAAAAATTATTGTAAATACGACCTTTCCTTCGAAATTCCCTTACTGGTATACCCGAACCCATTAGTTGCCGTTTTCCAAATCTTTCAACTTCTTACTACTTCACCGAATTTCTTTTTCAAAACGGTTGCCATAAAATCTGCCGTCGAGCGGGCCGGGAGGGGCGTGAGGCAAGAAGGTTCATGGCGCCTGTGTGACGAGAAAACTGAAAACCGAGAAAGTCAACAACCAAAATGTTCTTTCACACTCAAGTACAAGCCCTCTACATGAGGATGTCGCATTGCTGGCGACCTGCTTGTATGGATGGATTTGTCCTTTGTGTTATTTTTTTTTCTCCTAAAGGAGGGGGGGGTGAAATATGCTGTACTAGCGACAATTACCAGGACCGCCACGCACTTGATCCTGCGTTCACATCTGCGGTAAACGTTTTACAGTGTCGAGGGGATGCACAATGAGTAACAGTTGTGGGCAACAATCTTGAGAATGTGTACTGCCCGAATAGTCGAGTACTGCTACTATTATCACCCATAGGAAGGAACAACCGCTCCCTAGCGTGCCCTCGAAGCTACCGGAGGGCCGTAGGCAGTTTTCCTCATTCATTAAAGCCTCGGATCCGTCTCCTGTCCGGGGAAAGTGGGAGACGGTCAAGAGGATCATAAGCTGCCGCTTCGTCGTGCGCGGCAGTGGACGCGACGTTTCCTCAATTTGCACTGCCTTCCGTTAACCCATCGGATTCCATGTAGACAAGGACATGGTAGACACTTATGCTCATTTTTGGTCATACATTGTCCATTCTCGACCAATACCACCTAAAATCGTCGTCATTAGCGGGCGCGACGTCGCACGCGACGCCGACTGGCGCGGCGAAATACGATTCTCCTGCCACAAACCTGGGAAAGTGCGCCGTGTTTATGTTAGCACTACGTCTAGCCCTACTGTGTGGCTCATGGGCCGTATCAGGGGGGGGGTTATCGGTGTTCGTTCTCCGACCTTTCCCCTCTAATCACACGTATTGTACATAAATGTGATCAGCAAAATTGTTGCCAAGGGATCATTTCCAAGGAACCGGCTGACACATCGTCTTTCCTGACCACCTATCCAATTCAAGACTTTTGCAGTGGTGTAGGTGCTTGGCCTGCTGTTTATACTTTGCGGCAGCGTAGCGCTTCCAGCGTACGCCAGCGGCAGGCCGTGGAGAGGATAGATATCGATCTAGCGTTCCCAGCGTCACCAGCGTAACGCTAGCGTACGCTAGCGTCAGGGCTGCGTTTATACTTTGCGGCAGCGTAGCGTAGCGCTTCCAGCGTACGCCAGCGGCAGTGCCGGGGAGAGGATGCATATCGATCTAGCGTTCCCAGCGTAACGCTAGCGTTTCGCCAGCGTTTTCTCCAGCGTTTCACCAGCGTTTTGCTAGCGTTTGCAGCGGCAGGGAGTAGAGACTATGGGAGAGCTGGAGGGTACAAAACACATCGATTGCGCGTCTCTCACTCGCCTCAGTCTCTAACCATATAATCACATCGGATTGCGCGTCTCTGACGGCCACATACTCTCTACAATACACATCGATTGCGCGTCTCTTACGGCCACATGGTCTCTACTCCCCTGCCGCTGCAAACGCCACAAAACTGCTGGTGAAGCGTGGCGAATACGCTGCGTAGCTAGCGTTACGTCCACCGCGTTTCGCTGAATGACGCTGGGAAGCGCATAGATCGACCATGCCTCGTCCCCGACTGCGCGCGCTGGCTATACGCTGGTAAAGCGCTACGCAGCGCTGACGCAAAGATAACCAGCCTTAGGGACAAGCGGTGCTTTGACGCACGCGTAGCTTGTGGAAAATCCTGGACCGAAATCTCGGAGTGCAGATCGAAATCTTTGATCTCTCCAGAGCTTCCTATTTAGCAGTGGACTTGTTTGGAAAGATAGGAACACTGTGTTGTCCATTTAATGAGTCTTATGACATTAACAAGACACTGTGATTCTGAATTTGAGCCGAGTGTGCGGCGTACCCCAAAAAGGAGCAGTAGAAGCCATTTGTCCATCATTTTGGGAAGCGAAATGCTATACACTCTTATTCTCGGAATCGGAGGGAGATGAAGGTGCTTTTCGCATACAGGTAGGGGTGGGCAAGAGGCACATTGCCCGAGCCACATATCAGTAAACAATGCGCTGCTCGGCAAAACGTGGATACGACTACCAGGAAGAAAGATACCAAAGAGGTTCCTCGATAAGCAGGAGCAGACTCGCGCCCATCACCTTCATGCACACCGAAATATGAAGCCATCTACAATCGCAGCCTGACTGGAGAAGGCCTATGGAATGCAGCTTTACTCCAAGCAACTGCGAAACTGTTTGTATTGAGCCGTGGACCAGCACTACCTGGGAACCAGCACTCTTATCTTGGAAGATATCCGAGGCAAGCGGACAGCTCTCCGACAACCATCGATACGGCCTAGGATATTCATCTTCACCGGCAAGATCGCCAAGCGCGGTTGAAGGTAGGGCCCGCCGAAAATGTTGGAATGGGAAGAGCGATATTTTTTTCTGTGGGCTACGGATTCGAAGTAAATGCTGGCTGTTACATCAAACATCCTAAGGAGGATATCCTGTGCCTTCATGTCGTCGCTTGTACCATCTTCGAGACTTCGTACTGCTACAAGGATTGGGTGGCCACGCACTTGGAATCGAAAAATTCTCGCTTAGGCCCGCGTTCATAGCTTGCGTTCGTAAAGAAATGCCGAAAGTGCGGAATCTGCAAAAATGCCGAAAGTGAAGAAAAGCAATGGATACGTATCGATTTGAAGAAAGTGAAGAAATGCCGAAACTGCAGACGTGCCGAATCTGAAGACGTGGCGGAAAGTGAAGAAAAGCATTACATACGTATCGATTAGAAGAAAGTGACGGCATTTCTTCAGATTCGGCTTTCTTCAGATTCGGCACGTCTGCAGTTTCGGCATTTCTGCAGATTCCGCACTGTCGGCACTTCTGCAGATTCGGCACGTCTGCAGTTTCGGCACTTTTTCGCTTTCACAGAATCTCTCGAAGGCCTTGTTCCAGAAGGCTGTGGCGGTTTATGATCGTTTGCAATGTGCTTATGAACTGATGGTAGAAATGTTCATAGAAGAGTATAACTCATTTTCCTTTGAAAGTCAAGAAAAAAAAATGTGTCTTTTCTTGCCCCCCCCCCCCGAATACCGATCAGATCTTTGATTTCTTTTCTACGCCTCATTCCGAAATTATATCACACTTCGCAGCATGACATTGGTTGAAACACATGGTATAGAGTACCAGTCGGCACGCCGGCTGGGGTTAGCGCCCCTCCTTTTAGGAAACGGCCTGGCTTCGCCAGGTGGGCTCCACCAGTACGATATCTTCACCACTTCACCTGGAACTTTGCAGGCCCTTTCTTCTCTTGGATTCACTACGATCCGCACCTATTCCACTGTCATTTTTTTGAATCTCACCGTTTTAGGTACAATATTTCCCAACTCTTAATTCGCATCTAGGAACTCTTACAAAGTATCTGAGCAGACTAGCAGCACTGCACAATTTTGAGGACAACAATTGCGTAATTATTTTTCGCTTTCCACGCCGGAAGAACACGAGTTCTGTTCACAAACATTTATTTTTTACTTCCAAACATAACACCAGAGATGGCTGCAGTCCCCCATATCACCCGTGAAGCTGCATGTATGTGTGCAACCATTCGCCTTACATTCATCAGGGCAAGCCTTCTTCGCATCTGAAAAATCGGTTGCTTGAACCTTCCCAAGACACGTGAATTACAGCCAGCACGATCAAACAGCTAACTCGAGAATAATCAGTCTGCAATTTTGCGACAGCTGCGGTTATGGTAGCCTGCAATACTAAGGCGGTAGGAGAGAGATCTCCTGCAATATTTAAAGGAAGAGGGAAGGGATCTTGATCGTCCCCACGTGAACCACTTGACATTTGTGAAGAAATGAAATGCACGATGTGGCTCACCCGCTCTGGAAACCCACCCTGCCCTGAAAAATCGCCCTCCCACGCTATAGATGCGACGCAAAACTTTGGGGACTGTCGCATGGGGAGGAGGCGTAGAGAGAGGACATCCCCGTCTCGGGGAGGAAGCATAATATATGGTCTCAAAGCAATGAACGACTTTTCCACATCGGCCCTGAAAAAATTCAACGAACCTTCCAACCGTGTTCACCTTCAAACTA